AATCACCGGTTAACATTCTGCTGGATAAGTCATTTCTTTTGTAGCAGCTGACTCTTGCTTCAACAGGGTATTTAAGCCTCTCTTCTCTGACAAGATTGAGCTCTTTACCGGTTGTTCATTGTGTAAACTTACTTGATGTCAACCCGTTGTTTTGTATGCAGAAGAATGTTTATTATGAGAATGATAATTCTAATGCAACACATAAGTAAGTCTTGAAGTTTGAAAAACTTTGAATGAAATGACGTCCCAACTCTGTTGTGAACGAGTCACTAGCTAAAGAGAAACGTTTAAATTTTTTTTTTTATGAAAGATAATGCAAGCATATGATGCCAAAACAGATATTGAGACATACCTCTTAGGAGTCAGTTAAACGCTATCTCGTTGTAGCACGCTTTCGAATTGACCCATGCTTCAGTTAGGACTTTTATGGGTTGTAACGTGGCCTGGTTCACGGTTTTTAGAAAAAAGGATTTAAGGCTCAAAATTATTTGGTGCCCACCCATTCTCCATGATGTTCTCCATTCCTACATTCAATTGACCCGATACGAGCGTTCATCTCTCGAGAAGAGTTTGCAATAATTGAGGAACCACAGTGGTTTCTTGGACACGACAGTCACTAACTTCTGATTTTGGTGTCTGATCAGACGACTTTGTTCTTTGATGAGGATTTTCGTTGGTAATCCTTTTCTCGCCTTTTAGGCTTTTCAATTTCTTCTTGCTTTCCCTAATTTTTGCCTGGATAAATTCTTTTGAATTTCGATTTGAAAGTCCAGCGGGATGCCCCAATTTTTTGCCTAAGTGACTTGTTTTCAAGTTTCGACTTAGCGGGGATTTTTGTTTCTTTCTTTTTCGTATTTTTCGTTTTGAACAAGTCATTGATCTTTGCGTTGTCTTTGATCTGTTGGAAGTGATCGTGACTTCCTGAGTCTTTAGTATCGTCGTTTGTTGACCTCCTGATGTGCGAGACATATCCATTGGGATATTGTTAATTGATGCACGTTGCTGATAGATGAGGATTAACCATTGTGGTTTTGACTTTTCTCAATCTTTTGATGGATAACCATTGTTGTATCCATGGATGCACACTCTTGATGAGTTCTGAATGCTTGATCAGATTAGCTGAACACTACCCGCCCCAGGGTTGAAATGAGGGTTTTTTCTGAACAGAAAGGAAACTCCTACTTTGAAGGCTCAGAGGGGTTGACGAGGGTCTATCTCCCTTATATCTCCGGTGTTTGGGGATTGAAATAAAGCCTGTACATCGTCAGCAGGGTCCTACTCAAAAGCATACCAACCAGAGATTTTGCGTTTTCAGATTGTCGTCATCCTCCTTTGAATCTTTACCTAAGCATAAGACTAGGAAATCTGGCATCAATATGCAAGTAAAACATTTAAAGAGTGATAACAAATGGATGAGTAAAAATGAAAGGAACACTTCAAGACAAGCATACTTATTGCATTAAGATTTTCGTTCAAAAATAGACAAGTTTCTATATACAAGCAATGTTTGAACAAACAAGCAAGAATGCAAATGAAAATGCAGTAAAGAAACCAATGATTGCCATTGTTGAGGAGACTTGACTCCGTATGGACTTCTTGATTCTGACGACTTTCTGTAGTCTTGATGCTCGAGTGTGCGAGAGAATTCCCCTTCAGATCTGATGTGAACACAGTAGTCTCTGAATTGATCCAGTCTTGGACTTGGTCTCTGGATGACATACCATCTTCAATCGATTGGCCAAGTGCCCCAGTATAATATGCATCACCAAACACATCATGTTTTTTAAAGAAATAATAGACATCATCATCAGAGTTTCCATGACCTGGCTTATCTGACTCTTTAATCCATTATCTTCCTGCTTGAAGAAATTTTTGACTACGAGCCAAAGCTTGCATGTATATCGCTCAGATTTATTCCATAACTGATCTCTGGTGACAGTAAGAATCAAGTTAAACCTTTGAAGAAATCCCCAGGTCTGAATAAGAATCCCCAATCTCCGGATACCTGTAATGAATGCATGAATATACATGGAGTGTATGAATGAATGTCATGTCATGTTTTGTCATTTCCAAGGAATTTGCGTGCTTTGATTTTGTTTTTGCGCAAGTAAGGGATGGAAGAATTTTGGCACAAGACTTGCAAATATGATTCCTTGAAAATAACAGAACATGTATGTTAAGCATGCAGTTAGCCATGTTATGTATGCAAAGGCATGAGATAAAAGAGGATCAAGGTTCCATCATTCCTGAATAAGGTTGTTGCACTGCTCTGGATCATGTGAGTATCATCAGATCAAAGGTCTGGCACAACTTCTGCATATATAAAAAACCAAGTACCCTGTGGATCTCCCATTGTACGGGGTCAAGGCTTCTGGAACATCGGATACTATTGAGAATTTTCTGAATTTTCCGGGAATACCAAGATTGAAGGCTTGAATGAACCTCCAGGTAAACAAGTCAGGAACTCAGAAAATAAATCTGAGAACCATACGGTCACCGACAGAATATAGCATCTGCATAAAGTCATAACAGAAATCCAGAATATAGCCATCAGAACCAGTAGTCATTGTCTAAGCATAGTTACCATCTGAACACGAGTAACCATCTGCACATAGTCACCATCTGTACCTGTGATAGAAATTCCCTCCCCACTCCCGGGTGAAAACTAGGTCAGGGTAAGATAATGGTAACTCGAAAATCATGGGTTCGCCTGAAAGAGCTATGGGCTTGCCCACAGACGTGGGTGCTGATAGTAATTCATTTGAACCTCATCCGAGCGTGGTATATGACATGACTGCACTAATCGGACCACGTCCTATAGCCGTCATGCCCCCACTCTATTTCTAGGTATCCTAGTGCACTCTGGCCTGGGTACTGGGCCTTTTACCTCAAAAGTGACATCCCAACCCAACATAGAGAACAGAGTTCAGCATAATAGATAACAGATATGGAAAGCCATAAAATGCAATGCAAACATGTACAAATGAGTAAACTGAAAGCATGAAAATAAACACCCTAAGGAAAGAAAACAAGAGCTAGGAGCAACTCCGGGATGGACCAGCATTTGGTCGACCTATTCCCTAGTGAAGTCGCCAGCTGAAACAACCGGCTGAATATCATCAAACAATGAAGTCTCCATCGAACGTCTTTTATCCCACATGTAGAGAAAGGTAAACATCGAGAAAACCTGAGAAGGGAGAAGTCACGGTCTTGCGACCGAGAGATCGGGTAAGAAAGTCTGTTACGCGAGGGGAAGGTATTAGCACCCCACACGCCCGTAGTACTCTACGGTATCCACTCTCGTTATCTATCTTATGGGTGTGTTTAATCTATGCTTACTGTTTACTATACTACTAGAAAATGCATGCAAAAGAAAAGAGAAAAGAATGTAGGGAAAATAAAATTGTGCTCGCTTGGGCCCTACCCCAATGCCTACGTATCCGTTTTGAGGAATCAGAGCTACCGTAGTTCGGCTCACATTTTTTGTTTGTTTGCGTTTTTTATGGACGAAGTTAATTCCGCCTTCTGCCACAGCTCGGCCTTTGGAGACTTATGCGTTAGCACAGAAGTAAATTAATCATGTCCTTACCTGAAAAGGGTTTAAAAGAAAAGGTGCTCGAGCGCACAAAAGATTTGAGTTGGTTTATATTTTGTTATAGATGTTTTTTGTGGACGAAGTTAATTCCGCCTTCTGCCGCAGCTCGACGTTCGGAGACTTATGCGTTGGCACAGAAGTAAATTAATCGTGTCCTTACCTGAAAAGGGTTTTTTAAAGAAAAGTGCTCGAGCGCACAAAAGATTTGAACTTGTTTTGTATTTTTGTTGTAGATGATGACTGATTGACCTCAAGAGAGAGATATTAGCCATTTTTCTACTTAGCTATGAAAGGAGTTTTTTGAGAATTGAACCACACCTATGCTTGAGATGAAGAACAATAAGATCGAGAAGAGACCCGCTTATCATTTCTCGTACTAAGCAAAAGCATAATTCTCATCAATAGTTTTAAAGTGTTTTGAATTTTGAAAGAAAAGAAGTTTTTGTTTTAGATGCGTATGCGAAAGGGAAAGAAAAGTCAAATGGGACTAGCTTACTTCTAAACTTAATGTCATCGTGCATTGTTAGCCCTAAAGTTAGAATTAATGAGGGAATTCTACCTAATGTTAGTATGCATATGGATTTGCGATAAAGTACCGAAATGAAGGATAAAATAGGATTGTGACAATACCGAACGGAGAAGGTCCGTTGCCTCTCCAAAATTGTGCAAGCGGTAAGAAAATTCTATCAAAGTTCCCTTGGGCAAGTGATTGAAGAATTCACCCCGAGTATTCCACATTGCAAGAGTTATGTCGATGCTACAAAAATCTTGACTAGAAAATGGCAATAAAATGATTATCGAATATGAAAAATAAAATAGAAAAAAATTCTAATCGAAATTCTAAAAGAAATTCTATTCTAAAATATTCTATTATTTTTATTATCAATTGAGAGAGAAAATTAAACTAGAAGAAAACTAAAATAATAAAAAAGAAAAATTAGAAGAGTCAGGAGGTATGAGCTAAATTCATGGGTGTAGTGTAGTAATTTGCCCAAAAAGACTTTTTTGTTCAATTTCTTCAGGCTAAAAAACAACAACACGGACCTAAAGTAAAAAGTGAGGCCCATTCTAATTAATTCCTCATTTTTCTAACATATGTTTAATTATCAATTTAGTTTTCTTTATTATTAATTTGAATTAAAAAAACAATAAAACAAAAATAAAATTGTACAATAATTAAAACTAAAAAAAGAAAAGATGTGAAAATTGAAAAGAGAATAGGGTTTTAGAGAGAGTCGTTCTCTTCTTCTCCGCAGAACAGCACGAACGGCGCCTCCGCCTTTGGCTCATACTTCGAGTAAACGGTTTTGGCCAATCCAGAAGCCGATTCAACCACTCCGGCACGGCGGACTTCGGTCACAACAGATCTAGCTTGAGTCGAAACCTTCTTGACGTTGGTAGGAACATGACGATCCAGTTCAGAAATGGATTCATCGACCTTGCGATCAACGTATTTGAGAAGCTTCACGGGGACTTGGTGGAATTTGTCGTAGACTGGACCGATGACGGTTTTCACGGCTTCTTCAACGGTGTCGACGCCGGTTTTGAGTGGACCAGATCTTTCTTCTTCCTTTTAAATCACAACTCGTAAACCTTCTTCCCATCCCCAATTCTTCTGCATTTGCATTTTGTTGTTGTTCTTGTGCGTGTTGTTGTGATGTTGTTATTCTTGCAAACTCAGCGGCGTGTTGATGATTGGAACTTGATGCTAAGAATTTGTTGTTGCTGATTTTGTTGTAGATCGAGCATTGATGATGATACGAAGGTGATGGTGTTGCTGATGCAAAGAATAATGTTGAAGACACGCGTAAGATGCGTTATTTCGACACTGAATCGTGATGACGAGGCTATGATGCAATGAGTGGAAAGCAAGATGTAGCTCTGGTTTTTTGTTGCAGATTGAAGTCACTGAACATTGATGATGAAGATGATGCATGAATATTGAAGATGTGCAGAGATGGTATGATTCTTTTTTCTGTGTTTAACTCCCTTTCTTCTTGATTATGTCTTGATTGTTGTCGCTCTGAATCTTCAGTGATGAAGAGGTGATGCGTTAGTCTTTGTGTTGGATGCAGATCGAGGAATCGCTGCAAGAACGGGGTCGTTGCGTGTTGATTCTATGTGAAGCATGGATGCAGAGATGTCGCTTCGATGATGAAGCAGTGTTGTTGATGATGATCGACTCAAGGTAACACTGTTGTGATGATGATGATGGATCCGTGGCAGAAAGATTAATGGAAAAGCTTGAATGGAGATTGAAGGTTTGTTGAAGTGGATTTTCGTTGAATATGATGCAGCAACTTGGAGATGCAGAAGATTGGCGCGTTGAAACGGTTGCATATATGGGATTGAGACAATGAAGATGATGATGTTTATGAGCTGCAGAAGAAGCTTGTTGTAAATGATGGATGAAGTTTGAAGATTGCAGAAATTATGATAAAGATTGGGTTATGGAAGTTGAAGATTGCAGAGATGGAGCACTGAGGATTTTTATGGAGATTTTCTTGGTGTGGATTCTTCAAAATGGTGAAGAATGAGATGATTGAGAGGTAAAATTCTCTTTTTTCTGTGTTGAATCATCTATTCTGTCCATCCCCATTATGTATATATGCTGGAAATTTGTTGTAAAATAAGCCATGAGTTGGTTATGTGGTTAGTTAATTCTGTTAGGATAATGTTAGAAATTAGTTAGGAGTTTGTTACTAGTTAAGTTAGTTATGCTGTTTGTTATTCTGTTATGCAGTGTTAGAGATTATGTTAGTTGGTTAGAATTTGGTTAAGAGGTGGGAAAAAAGGAAAGCTGGTTACAGTTGAGTTAGTTTTTGCTGTAACTGTTTTGGGTTGTTTAGAAGTTAGGGAAAAGTTAGTTATGAATGGGTATTTGTGAATTCACTTTTGGTTTTTGTTAGCTGTTAGTTATAATTAGGAGGTCAGTTAGATGTTAGGGATCTAATGGTGGAGATAAATCATGCTATGGGTCTGTTTCTATTTTGTTATATACAACTCTGTAAAAGTTAGTTTGAAGTCAGTTATTAGTTTCTTTTTTTGTTAGAAGTTAGTTGGCTAGAATTTTGGTTAGGGGTTGTTTGAGTTTGTTATGTGCAGGGCTGTTTTGGAATTGATAATAACTGTTTCTTTTTGTTGTGTAAATGTTCAGGATTGCTTTGGAAAAAAAGGCATAGACCATGGCAAGTTACAATACGCCGGTTTGGTCATGAAGAAGGTAATGAAGATGGAAGCAACAAGGTTGCATTTCAAACACGACGAGGCCACACAAAAAGCGATGATGAGAATCAATATATGCACTTTTAATTGTATTTCTTGTTTTTTGTAGTATATTTTTGGATATTGTAAATGGTGTTGGGTATTTGGTTATGATATGGTTTTGACAGACTTTCTCCTTTTAAGATTTAAACCCTTTGCGCTTCTACCAGTAACATATGTGAAATCATGCTCAACTGATACATCTGACTTGATTGTTCTTGCATTGCCTTTTCCATGCATTAGAGAAATATCTATTATACTAATGCATGCAACAAAAAGCATATACTAATGCATGCAACAAAAAGCACCCATATAATATTTGTTTGTCGAACAACAACTGCAAAGGCTCCAACCTTACCAATGCACTTAACCAGTAATTCTTTTCCAAACTTTGCAAGATACATGGCCAGCACAGCAGTAACGGATGCAACATCTGTATAATAAAGAAAAGTGAAGAACCAATGAAGGGGATACAAGGATAGGAAAATTGCGTGAAGCATTGCCTTTCTGTCACCGAGAGTTGGTTTCAAGTGAATAATGATGTCATATAGAATTATGCTGCATGCTTTTTCATACTTGTGGTTCGAATTCCAAGAAAAACCACGCAAATATTTAAGAACTTCGATTTTCTCCAAATCGACTTCAAATATTAATGAATGAATTCTAATCAAACTACAGCTTCAGTGGATCCCTAATTCAATTCAATTTTCCGATCTCAACCAAATTTGCATGTCAAGCAATAAGCATTTGAAATAATGACACCTTGATCACAATCAACATCTTGTACCATGTCCTGACTATATGAGCACTAGAACAACGACGTCTTGGACCCCTTCTCAATAGATGATGATGACTATGCCCTGAGGGATTCTCTGCAGATGAATATGAAAGATGAGACATGCGAATACCTTGATATGGAATGAACCTCAGGTATAATGCTGACAAGCTCAAATACGAAAATGTATAACCCTGATTTTTAGCTTCGTCTCATAAAACCTTGCAACTTGACATTGAGGAGAAAAGAATAGCCTCATAGCTTGATGATGATAAGGTCCATGAAATGAAAACCTAGCTTCAAACAAATTGTTAATGGAGAAATCAACGGAAACAAGCTTGTGCGAAGATGAGAGCCTTAAAGCCATACACCAATCCTTATTCCTCGAAATCCATGATCTTATGCCAATTTATCGATTAATGATGCATGATGTGTTAGATGACCTAATGTGAGAAAAAATGCAAAAATGCGTAAGCCAGATAGGAAGTAGAAGGGTAGGACAAATTTGGGGTATTACACCTGACCAGATAGCAGTTAACTTCTGTCTCTTCAATCAAGAGATGACTCCCCAGCAGAGTAATGGACAATTGAAGCTCCTAAACTTTATTTCCCGATCAGAGACCAACATTCCTCAGCGGAGTCCTCCTCAACAACAGGAATAGGAATTCCCGCAAAGGAATATCTCATGAAATCAACATTGTTCTAGATGGAATCTCTGAGCCCATCTCCGACGACTCTCTGTCACATTGTTCTATATGGCATCTCTGAGCCCATCTCCGACGACTCTCCGTCACATTATCTAGATGGCATCTCTAAGCCCATCTTCGATGACTCTCCTTCATATCTCCTTGGGTGGCATCTTTAAGCATGTCTCCGACTGTCTTCTGTCATCTTTTCCAAATGTCATCTGTAAGCCCATTCCCGATATTATTCACCAACAGTCTCACTTCGGACGAGTGCAAATTTCTGGGCACTCTAGTGTTCAATCATCTTCCACCTTCAGATCACGAAAGGCAAACAAGCCAATCTAAATCTTCAGGTTTAAGAAGATTGAACAGGGGAAGCCGTTGTACCCCAAAATTTGCCCTCCCATTTTCACACAAGACATACTCCTAGAGGTTCTCAATTTCTCAAGGTTGGCCAAGAATTGACCAGACAAATTCTCCTCCTAGGGCAATGAACCCCCCAACTAGGGTTCCAATTTTCATCGAGATGGTTGAGCCTCAAAGGTCTCAAATGCTTTCCATGGTCCTAATATGTCTTCAAGATCATCCATGCCAAATTTTATGCCTTGCATAATAAGTTTGCACAGTCAATTGCTCAAGTATTGAAAAATTAACTGGGCTAGGTCAAAAGTCAATTGTGGCTCATATACAGTCAAACTTCAAGATTTTTGGTAAAAATAAACATTTTGAAGTTATATCCATCATTTGATCAAGGGTTGATCATGATTCCTCAAGAAATACTCCTAATCTATCAAAAGTCAAGAGTTGCTAAATTAGGGTTTCTATAGGAAAAGTCTACTAAACTTTGACCAGGCATAACTTTCACATACTTCATCCATTTTCCCCTAACCAAAGATCATTTTGAAGAGAATCTAATTCCCTACAACTTATCTTTTGTCCTCAAGTTCAAGAGATGCACCATTTGAAAGATACAAGCTCATACATTACATGTCATTTTCAAAAAGTCAACATAAGACACTTTTTGTCAAGGCAACTTACATCAAGATAATGTCTCCAAATGCAAAAATGATTAAAAGATAAAGTGTAGAGGACATATTGAGATTTCCAAAAATTTCAAGATCACATTAAAAAGATGAAAATTGATCAAGTTATGTGGTGCACAAGTTGGGAAATTTTCAAGAAATGTGAAATGCAAAGTGAGCGAACTTGAAGTTTTGAACTAGTGGGCCTAACTTTTGATGTTCAAAAATGTTTGTAACACGATGGGAGAACTAACTTGTTTGTTTTGCGTTTGATTTCAAATGTTGCAGTTAGCAAGAGTCGCCACCGACTTTTCTTTTATCCAAAAGGAAAGGCTGAAAAGAACATGAAAGACCTTTGAGATGTTTTCTTGAGTTCGGGCGGTAGATTATGAAAAGGGAAGGTATTAGCACCCTTTTCATCCGTAGTTATCTACGGGATCTTAGTTTCTTGCTAAATCACTTGCTTTTGTTTGAAAATGTGCTTTGTGTGGTTTTTGAAAGTATTTTGAAAAGACGCCATTGTTTAGGCAAACTTTGTAATAATTCTCGTTCGTAAGAATGTATACAAAGTGTTGATCTTTTGAAAAATGTTTCAAGTTTGAAAGATGTTTTGAAAGTGTTGGTGTTTCTTATGAAAGTAGCAAGGATGTTTTGGTTTTGAAATTGAGCAAGCAACTAGGAACAATCTACCTACTCAAAAGTCTTTCATGTTTATTTCCTCTTTCCTTAAACATTGTTATATTACCATTGATTTGGTAAGTAACCCTATCTTTGGATGTAAAAGGGGCGGGCAAGGGTCATCGTATAGCCATGATTAGAAATGTTGTAAGATATCTTAGCATTTTATTTAAGGGACTAAGATCATTTTTGAAAGGCAACTTTGATTGCATCATCGAGGGACTATGATCTTGTATTTTATTTGTTTTTGCTAAGACACCTCACATGCATAATACGACCATTTTAGTAAGGCAACAAAGTGGGTTTACCCTAAGGGTGTATGTGTGCAAGTGTATTAGTTTACATGCTTGATTTGTCTTGACTAGGGTTTGCAATTTGTTGATTTTATCTTTCCATATAAGTCCTAATTACTAGCAATAATATTGAAAGCGGTAAG